GGCACACCGGCCACGGACCTCCTGGCCCCTACTGGAAGAATCTGAGGTCTTAAGCTTTTTGGCCTGGCCTACTGCTATTTGTGCTTGCTCTGGCTTCCGCTTGGTGCAGAACTCCAACTCCATCTCCCGCTGACGGGCCTTCTCCACCATCTTATTCAGGTTTTTGCACCCTGTAAAGCTCATAAACTCTCAGATATCATCCCTCGGCATGGAATGATATCTCGTCCTCCTCATGTCCTTATCTGTAAGCATACTGCGGAATCAACAATGCTCGTTCCCGAAACTTGGCGGTGATCTCCGCCACAGTCTGGGTCGTCTGTTGGAGCTCCTGAAACTCCCTCACTAACCGTTGCATATTAATGGGTGGTGAAAACTCCAGATCAAAGCATCTGACAAACTCTGCTCATGTCATCTCTACCACTCCAGCTGTCCCCACTTGACTGGTCACCTCTCCTCACCAGTCCCAGGCTCGGTCCCTCAGCATACACGAAGCAAATCCCACCTTTATCACATCAGGGTAAAGCTCACAAACTCTCGGATATCATCCCTCAACATGGAATGATATCTCGTCCTCCTCATGTCCTCATCAGTAGAATACTGCGGAATCAACAGTGCTCTTTCCCGAAACTTGTCGGTGATCTCTGTCACAATCTTGGTGGTCTGTTGGAGCTCCTAAAACTCCCTCACTAACCGTTGCACCTCAATGGGTGGTGCAAACTCTAGATCAAAGTGTCTGACAAACTCTGTCCATGTCATCTCTGCCACTCCATCTGTGCCCACCTGACTGGTCACCTCTCCCCACCAGTCTCGTGCTCGATCCCTCAGCATACACGAAGTAAATCCCACATTTGCCACATCAGGAAAGAGCTCGTATGATGGGCGTTCTCCATGTCTGCCACCCAGTGTCGTCTAACTATGGGTCCCTGACCTCGAAGAACTCCGGCGCCCCATACGCCTTGAACTCCCAGAACTAGGGAGTTCGGGCCCCGACCTGGCCCGCAACAATCTCGGCTCTGAATGACCTAAGCCGCTCCTCCATGATCTCCATCATCCCTTCCTTGACTGTCCCAAAAATCAATGGGGTAGGATCAAGGATGCCCCTCATAACCTCGACTGCAATAAGCTTGCGCAGCCTCTCGTCAATGGGTGCTAAACCCTTGCCTGACCCAGATCCGGATCATGGTCCTGATCCTGACCCCCTGCTCCAAGTCGTGTCACAACCATCATGATAAGACAGAATGATCTAGATAATAATAAAAAAAAGGATCCTCCCATACCGGTTCTCCTTAGAGCTTCCAGATCTAACATTAGTTTGGGTACAGGTCCTGTGCTTTCAGTAGTACGGGCCCAATACTACCTTCCACACCTACCTGTACCTTCTCCAAAGTTCTACCTGATAACTCTAATTCGACCCAGAACAGAACATATCTCACGGGCTACTGCATAACTCAAATCCTAGGCTATCCTAAGATTTCCTCAATCCCATCAAACCAGAACTCAATCAATCATAACAGGATGCCCTATGCATGCAAATTATACATAGAACAGGATCAAATAGACTTTGAATAACAGACTCTACCCTAGGAGCACAACCAGACAAGGAGCGGGAAATAACGCCAAATCAATCATTCTAAGGCTATAAGATCCGAACCGTATTCAATTTTTTAAAGCATACACATAGCAAAATCCATCCGACTATCATAATCCATATATCAGTATAACATGGCTAACATATTGGGGAACTACTTACTTGAGCTCGGCCGATCACACGCATTGCACTCTCCCCTTTTTCTAATTTAAGAAATTTTTAACTTTTGATTTTTGAAAATAATTTTACCATTTCCTTAGTTTGAGTCCTGACACACCCAAGAGTGTTCCCGGATCCCTCAAACAAGGCTCTGATACCAACTTGTAACGACCCAATTTTCCAAATAAATTTTTCATTTTTAAATAATCAAAACATTCCCATAAACCACAAAATCTCAATGACAATTGTTTTCAAATTCATAAAATCGACATTTTATTTCAAATATCAGAGTGTCCACATAAAAAATACCTAAGAGAGTGCATGCCGCGCCATCAAGCCTTGCCCTTTCCCTTAGGCTCAGAAGTACCTGAAACAAATCAACAAATTGTAATCTAATGCTTAGTGCATTCCCCAGAGCATACCCCACACAATCCACATAATTACATAATCCATATTAGCTATACAAGCTACATAAACCACAAGCCACGCATACAAACATATAGGGATGTCGTGGGATCCTCCTAGGGTCTTACTCCAGGATGTCATGGGCTCCCCCACATGGTCTTACACCTAAGTGCCATGGGCTCTTCCATGGTCTTTAGCTGGAAAGCCACGGGCTCCCCCACATGGTCTGACATCCAAGTGCTATGGGCTCCCCCCAAGGTCTTTACCTGAAAAGCCATGGGCTACCCCACATGGTCTTACATCCAAGCGTCATGGGCTCCCCTCATGGTCTTTACCTGCAAGTATCACATATACAACTAGCATACCACTTAGCATATAACCAACTAACCTATCACATATCACTAAATCAACTAGTGTACAACATATCACAAAATGCGCCGGCCTTGGTGCCTTAGACCCATTGGTATGGTGAGGAGACTCACCTCTCAAGAATACTGAACTGATAAGATATGATAAGTCCCAACCCGCATCTCCAACTCAACTACCTACAACCATCATGTGACTAACTTTTTCAAAATCCCGTAATACCAAAAATACCCTCAAAGTCAAACTTGGTCAACCATGGTCAAAGTCAAGGTCAACAATCCATGTTGACCCAAATCATCGAGTGTATCTAGCAACTCGTCGAGTTCCTTCGGTGTTCATCAAACTGGGGAAAAACCCTAACCAACTCGCCGAGTTCACTGTGTATACCGAAAACGAGAAAACCCTATCCAACTCGTCGAGTTTTCCCGTGTCTTAACATAGTCAGTCCTTCTAGTCAAATCCAAAGCCCCAAACTACAGATCCAGTCCCTTAGGACTGAAATACCACGCAAAGTTGCAAATTTTACGTGCATGGAAGGCCTCAAGATGCTAAAACACTAAAACTAAGTCTCATACAAGGTTTAGGGCATGGAGAAGGGCCAAAGCTTGATAAATTGTACAACTTTATAACTATGGGGGCCAAGAGGAGTCCAGATCTGAAGTTACAACTTCAACGCATGCCTAGCTTCCAAAAATGGGTCCAAAGTCGGCTAAAAGGGACCCTAAACTCTTTAATGGAGAGATCTAGCAAGAGAATGATCAAGGTAACAACTTTTTACCTTCAAATGGATGCTACAACTGAGTAGATGTTGGATCTATAAGCTCCTTCTCGTTCCAAGATCTTTATTCTTCGAGTTCTCCAAGAAATGCACCAAAACACACACTCTAAATTTAGCCTTACACACACTCAATATGGGAGGTTAGCTCGATTAGGGTTTGCTTCTGGACTGTAAAGATGACGAGGGAGGTCAAAATGAGCCATAAGTTTTTTATATAGGATACAAACCCTGAAAATTAGGGTTTTCCTTTACAGCGTCTACTCGTCGAGTAGACCCTAAGTCCCGCATCCAAAACAATCTCTACTCGACGAGTTGGAGCTCCCCAACTCGTCGAGTTCCAGTCTAAAAACCTAAAATATTGAGAAATAAATGATACCTGAAACGAGTGTTACATAAAAGGGAAACAAACACTTTGAATTCGAAACAAAATCGTTCTTGTCGTATCATTATGGAACTTGAAACCCTAATGTGTATATTTTTTACACACACTTTCCGAAACAAAAGGTGTTCTTCTTCATAAGAAAATAGTTAATTAAACAAAAAACAACATAAACATTTAAATCAAGAACATATTGATTAAATACTAAACCATGATTATTTCAATTAATAGAAACCATAACCCTAATGCTTTTAACACATGTCAAGAAGATTGAGGAAGTCAAACAAGAGTCCTTTTGACAGCGTCATACCCCTTACCAACAAGAAAGCAAGAACCCTAACTTAGGAGACTTGAGAACTTTGACCACCATGAAATTTGTGTTTTCTTTAGGTTGTTGCTCAGAGATGAGGAGAAAAAAAGGGAGGCCGACTTTAAGGTTTTGAATAGACCCTTGAACCCCTTATGCTTTCTCTTTTTATATATTTGGTGGAAATCTTATCATTTCCAAATTTGAATCAAGGATAATATTATTTTATTCATTAGTAATTATCCTTTAGAATTATCTATTAATTATTGATCAAATAATTTATATAAGAATTTTAAGCATAATTATTTAGTTTCCACCAATTAAATTCTAAATATTAATTATTTATTGACACTCATGACATTAAATAATAAATTAATTCTCTCTTTATTTATTTTGTCAATGTTTTTATCTTGGTTCAAGTGGGTAACTCATATAGGCACATGTAATAAATTTGTGTTAACAATATGTTGTGTAGTGGCCATATCTCCAACAATATACGACTCCAAAAAAGGAAATGAGAAGATTAAACCAATAATATATAAATATAAAATAACCATTAGTTATCCATTTATACAATATAAATATGAAACATGAAAAGAAAAAATATTAAACCCACAACAATCTTATCACCCTCTTCTGGCGATAAACAATTGAACTTTTTCTTACATTTCCGGTATATAACCCATCGAGCTCTTTTTCAAGGATAGGATGACCCACAACAGCGATGTCGAAAGGAAATGGTTGTAACAAAAAGATTGATGAGGTGAAGTACAATGTTTATGACCTTATTACAATGAAATGGTTGTGGATGAACAAATTTTCAAACATCTCCTTGAGGAACCTTCTTTATGAAACTCGTACGAAAAATAAAACCTACATCAATAGATAAGAAGTTGTTATGGATGTGTCATAGCATTTAAAATTTGGTTATAATGTTGGGAATATTTCATGATATCGAAAAGAAACAAAAAAATATACTTACATGGTTGTATCTTGCAAACAACAAAGTTATGGGAGTCTAATAATTAGTTGGGGGTGGAGGAGAACCATAGATGTATACAGGTGGAAGAGGTGATTTTATTGGTGGAGGTGGAGATATATAGTGGTATGGAGGTGGTGGTGACTTAACTGGTGGTGGGGGTGATGTGTAATGGTATGGAGGTGGTGGAGATTTCACAGGTGGTGGAGGTGATGTGTAGTGGTATGGTGGCGGTGGGGACTTAACTGGTGGTGGGGGAGATGTGTAGTGGTATGGTGGAGGTGGGGATTTAACTGGTGGTGGAGGTGATGTATAGTGGTATGGTGGTGGTGGGGACTTAACCGGTGGTGGGGGAGAGGTGTAGTGGTATGGAGGTGGTGGAGATTTCACAGATGGTGGAGGTGATGTGTAGTCGTATGGTGGTGGTGGGGACTTAACTGGTGGTGGAGGTGAAGAGTAATGGTACTGTGGTGGTGGAGATTTAACTGGTGGGGGAGGCGATGTGTAGTGGTATGGTGGTGGTGGGGACTTAGTTGGTGGAGGAGGTGAGGTGTAATGGTATGGTGGTGATGGGGACTTAACTGGTGGTGGTGGTGAGGTATAATGGTATGGAGGAGGTGGAGATTTCATGGGTGGTGGAGGTGATGTATAATGGTAAGGTGGTGGTTGGGATTTAACTGGTGGTGGTGGTGATGTATAGTGGTATGGTGGTGGTGGTGACTTAATTGGTGGTGGAGGTGAGGTGTAGTGGTATGGGGTGGTGGAGATTTCAACCGGGGGTGGGGGTGATGTGTAGTGGTATGGTGGTGGTGGGGATTTTACCGGTGGAGGAGGTGAACTGTAGTGGTATGGTGGGGGTGGAGATTTCACCGGTGGTGGTGGTGATGTGTAATGGTAAGGCGGTGGAGGGGATTTTACAGGCGGGGGAGGTGAAGTGTAATGGTATGGTGGCGGTGGAGATTTCACGGGTGGAGGTGGTGAAGTGTAGTGATATGGTGGGGGAGGCGATTTCACTGGTGGTGGAGGTGATGTATAGTGGTATGGAGGAGGTGGTGACTTAATAGGAGGTGGAGGCGATGTATAATGGTATGGCGGTGGCGGAGATTTCACCGGTGGTGGAGGTGATGTGTAGTGATAAGGTGGGGGTGGTGACTTCACCGGTGGTGGTGGTGAAGTGTAATGGTATGGTGGTGGTGGAGATTTCACTGGTGGTGGTGGTGAAGTGTAATGGTAAGGTGGGGGTGGAGATTTAACTGGTGGTGGAGGCGATTTGTAGTAGTATGGGGGAGGTGGTGATTTCTTAGGTGGTGGGGGTGATGTGTAGTGGTACTTGGGAGGAGACTTTACTGGTGGTGGAGGGGAAGTGTAGTGGTATGGAGTAGGTGGTGATTTCTTAGGGGGTGGGGGTGATGTGTAGTGATATACTGGAGGAGACTTAACGGGGTGGAGGGGGAGACTTGTACAAGTAAGTGGGTGGCGGTGGTGGTGGAGATTTGTAATAATATGGAGAAGGTGTGGGCTCTGGTTTTGGCTTTGGCTTCTCACAAAGCGTAGAAGGAGTCTTAGGAGCATATGCAAATGGTTCAGCCTCAAGGACAGCCTCATAAGCATTTTTGGATTTGACCTTTAGCATGGCACCCTTCAAACCACCATGAAGATTTGTTGGAATATTACATTTGGTTCCCTTTGGTGCCATATGAAGCTTAGCGGTACAAGCTTTTGCTCCTCCATATTTGGAATAGTCCAAACCCTCAACAGTAATTGCATATTTGCCATTGATCTTAGTCTTTCCATATGCAAAAATTTCTTTCTGGCCAACAGCGTTGCAAGTAATTTCGACAACAGCACCTTTTTCAACACAAATAAAAAAAAAAGTCAACTTCATGTATATTTTTTGGTCCACCTTTGTAATATGCCGGTTACTATAAAATTAAAACATGTTATGCTATGCATGATATGATTTTGGGTTTAAATACTTAAATTAAATAAATATTATTAACTCTTATACAAAATAATCATAAATATATAACTTATAATGTAGCCTTTCATAAAAAGAATATGTCGAAACCTTAGCATGGTATCTTTATTTTATTTTTTTGAAGTGTTATAATTTATATGGATAATAAGAAATGAATATATGATTATATGTTTTAACAAGTTAATTAAAAAATGAAATTTTAGAAAAGTAAAGCTTCATTTTATGAGAAATATACATATCTTTCATTTTGATGTTTTTTTATTTATTTTAAAATGCAAGATAGTAAACGAATAAAACCAGAAACATAGAACATGGGTCAACCATCAAAGCACATGGATACACATCCATTCATATATATAAAACAGTTAAGGTAGTGCGAGAAACTAAAGTTTATACCTTTGAGGTGGTGCTTGGCGTGTGATTGGATTGGGTATTTCCAGTCATAGCAGCTGTAGCAGTAAACTTTGCCCACGACCTTTACAATAAGTTTCTTGTGGTGAGGGTAAGGTACGGGGTGGTAGGATTTTGGTTGTGGTGGAGAACTGTAGTAATAGTGTGGGGGAGACTTTGTTGGTGGTGGTGGGGATTTGTAGTAGTAAGGTGGTGGTGGAGAATGCACCGGAGGAGGAGGAGACTTGTAGTAGTATGGTGGTGGTGGTGACTTAACTGGAGGTGGTGGAGACTTGTACAAATATGGCGGTGGTGGTGAATGCACCGGTGGAGGTGGAGACTTGTACAAATATGGTGGTGGTGGTGAATGCACCGGTGGTGGTGAATGCACCGGTGGAGGTGGAGACTTGTACATATATGGTGGTGGTGGTGAATGCACCGGTGGTGGTGGAGACTTGTACAGATATGGTGGTGGTGGTGAATGCACCGGTGGTGGAGGAGACTTGTACAGATATGGTGGTGGTGGTGAATGCACCGGTGGTGGTGGAGACTTGTACAAATATGGTGGTGGTGGTGAATGTACCGGTGGTGGTGGAGACTTGTACATGTATGGTGGTGGTGGTGAAGAATAGATATAAGGATCAGCCGAGACAGCTATAAGGTTAGCAACACCAAAGACAGTTAATGCGATGACTATAGGCCATAAAGAGGCCCTGAACGGGACACCGGTGGTAACTCTCATGGTTCACCGGTAGTTAGAGAGGATGGGGTTGAGGGAGGGAGGGAGGTTATGTTTTTGGATGTAAAGCTATAGGTATAAATAGCAAATAACACCAAGAGAATATGCCACTAATTTGTATATTAAAACACTTGTCAACCCTTCCAAGGCAACTAGGCCACATTCTCTTTTTTTAAGCTCTCGTTCTCAAGAGTTACTCGGACAATTATTTGGGTTGACATTAAATTTATTAAATTTATTTTATCTCAAGCTTAACTTGAACTATTCAATAAACGAGCTTTATATATTTGACTTGTTTTCATTTCAATAAAGAGTCTCTGCGAACTTTGGGTTACCTCTTGGTAAGTGGAGTCAAATGATAGACCATGATTTAATTTTATATTGTTTGAATACTAATATTTAACGCATTTCATGGTTCAGACTGCTATACATGAAATTACGAAGGATATGGTTTCTGTGTCTATTAGATAATTATCATAATTTATTTTGTTTGTATGTGTTTGTACTGGTGCATTTATTTATAAATTGAACTTTATTAAGTGCATATAGTTTAAATTGAAAATGCATTATTTGTATTTACCAACATAAACTTACAAACTCGATTGCTAACATTCTTTCTGTTTACTGTAATGTTTCTATTACCATCTGATCTGAATGTTAATGATAAACCAACTTTAAAACAAAAAAAATGAAATTAATGGGTAATGAATAAATAAAGTACCAGTTTCTTATTTCTCTTAGCTAGTAGTGAATAGTAGACCATGGATAGAGCTATCGATCCAGAGACTCTTTTCTAACGCCATCCAGGTTTCGTTTATAATTTAGTACTTTACCCTTCAGTAATTTCAGTAATATATCATATGTTAAAAAAGTTCCAAAAGGTAAACGATACATTTTTTCACCTGGTAAAACTCCAAAACAAAAACCGAATAAAACATATAAATTAAAGAAGTAGAAAATAATTAAATAACGTTCTTTCACATGTCAAATATCTATTTATAATATTATCTTTCACATATTAGGATGCTAATTAAACTTAAGAAAACTTAAGCTTTAAAAGATGTATTGTGCCACTGATAGTACATCCTTACGGTCATATAAAACTCCCATTTTTACTTAATTATTTTCGAAAAACATACAAAAAGCGATACTGATTATTTAAACAAATTTAATTTTAAAACCATGCATGTGTCATGCTCTGGTGTGTGGGAACACTTGAATGAATTTGGGAAAATGACATAAATGCCCTACAAACTTTCTAGGGTTTACCCATTTAGTCCTTAAAGTTTTTGTCGGACTTTATGAGTCCCTAAACTAGGATATGACCTGCTCTTTTAGTCTTTATCAACCTGTAATAGCCAGTGACCTTTTAGACCAAAAAACTCACATTGTGCCCCTATAAAACCAAAAAAAATAAGTTCGGGGATCAAAGGGTCAAAATGTTGTTTCAGGTAGGAGATTTCGAGTGCACTCTTTCACCTGGTTGACAAATGAGTGAAACACTTGATAATTAGATTATTATTTTGAGAAATTAAATTGGTTCCTACTATTTCTTCATACTAATATACCTACCCACTAAAATTATGTCATTTGTCATCAATATTCCATCTCATCTAATTTAATTTGATATTCCTATAGTGCCCTTAATGAGGTAATTGAGAAAAAAGGAAAAAAAAATATCACGTAAGATACATGATCGTGCGTAGCAACCTGCAATCCCGATTCTTTCTCAATATCTCAAACCCTTCTTCTCGTTATTCTGTTGCCCACGACAATTGCAACCAAGCGCGCCAGCAGCCACAATCACAACAACAACAATCAAAACAACAACATTCAGGTAAATTTTGCTTTAATTATGTGAAGGCTACACACACTAAGGCTATGTTTGGCGTACTAGCTGAAAAGCTAGCTGTTAGCTGAAAAGCTAGCTGTTAAATAAAAAGCTAGCTGATAGCTGAAAAGCTAGCTGATAAAAAATAACGTTTGGTAAAACTAGCTGAAATATATAAAATTACATAAAAGGACATGTAGGAGTATGTGTTTCTATAATTAATTAAGGGGTGTATTTGGAAAATTTTAAAAAAGCTCCTAAAAAGCTACTCTAAGTAGCTTTTCAAAAAGCTAGCTTAAAAGCTACTTTTTGGCTTACCAAACACGACAACATAAAAAAGCTCGAAAAATAAGCTAGCTTATCAGCTACCTGTGACACGCCAAACACAGCTTAATGGTATTTTTAAGTTCAATCTTGTTACCTTTTTCTTTTTGAAGCTATATGATTCTGTTTGTGGGTTCTAAATATTTTTATTTTTTGTTAAGACTTCTGTTAGCAGCTATAGGTGATGGATAAAAGAGAATAATAGTGAATAGTGATTATAGAAATTGGTCAGTCATATTTGCGTTTATAATATAATTGTATAGTTATATTTCTAATAAGATAACTCTTATTTGTTGATTAATATTACAACTTATAGTATGTTATGTTGCTTTATTATTGATAAAATCTTTGGTTTATTGTTAATAAAATATTTGATATTTGATCCGTATGGAGATTGCAAATTCAGTTGAAGAGGCTATAAATTCAGTAGAAAATGATGCAATTTCAATAGAAAAGGCTGCAATTTCAGTTGAAGAGGCTGCAAATTCAGTTGAAGAGCATACAAATATCAATCCTCAAGATCAAAAAATTCCTAAAGTTGGAATGAAGTTTGATTCAGAAGAAGACCTTTACAATTACTTTAAAGCACATGCATTCCAGACTGGATTTGGTATACGGAAATCTAGTACAGGAACAAAAGATTCTTGTGCTAAAACATACTATTCACTTGGATGTGCTAGAGGAGGGGTATATATGCCTAAAACAAGTAAACTATATAAAAAATCTTCTAAAACAAACTGTAAAGCAAAAATTAGCGTAATTGCATATGGTGATGGAAGATGCGTTATCTCTAGTGTGTTTCTTGAACATAATCATGCTTTAAGTCCCAAAAAAATCTCGTTTCCAACGATCACATAAGAAAATGGATTCATATGCTAAAAGAAGACTTGAGTTGAATGATTATGCTGGAATTCCGTTAAATAAAAGTTTTCACTTGTTAGTTGTTGAAGCGAAAGGGTATGAGAATTTGCCTTTTGGCGAGACAGATTGTGGATCTTACATCGCAAAAGTAAGACATCTAAGACTTGGGCTTGGGGATGCCGAGGCACTTCGTAATTATTTTGTCCGTATGCAAAAAAGGAGTTCAAATTTTTTCTATGTGATTGATATGGATGATGAAGGCCGTATACGAAATGTATTTTGGGCAGATGCAAGGTTAAGGGCAGCATACGAGTCATTCGGGGATGTTATTTCGTTTGATAGCACATATTTGACTAACAAATATAATATGTCGTTTGTGCCTTTTGTTGGAGTAAATCACCATGGACAATCTATCTTATTTGGATGTGGTTTGCTTTCACGAGAGGATACATAAACATATGTATGGTTATTCAAGTCATGGTTAGAATGCATGAATGGACGGGCACTAAAAGCAATAATAACATATCAATGTCGATCAATGCAAGAAGCTGTGGCACAGGTATTCCCTGATTCTCATCATCGTCTTTGTCTTTGGCATATTATGAAAAAGATTCCTGAAAAATTAAGTAGGTTGCCTCAATATAAAGTAATAAAGAAGACTCTAAAAACCCTTGTATATGAGTCTATGGACACTCAAGAGTTTGAAGATGGGTGGTGCAAGTTGGTTGAAAAGCACGCACTTGAAAAAAATGAGTGGTTAAGTTCTTTATAACGATCGAATGCGTTGGGTGCCGATATATGTGAAAGAAAACTTTTGGGCATGGATGTCTACTACACAAAGAAGTGAAACCATGAATGCTTTTTTTGATGCATATGTTAATTCTAAAACCTCATTGCGACAATTTGTTGAGCAATATGACAATGCATTGAGAAACAAGATTAAAAAAGAAAATAAGGCTGATTTTGAGTCTCTCAATTGTTCATATAAATTAGTAACTGAGTTTTATTTTGAGAGACAGTTTCAGGAAGCATACACAAATGCAAATATTTAAGTTGTTTCAAGATGAGTTACGAGGTATGTTATTTTGCAATTCTTCATTGGTCAAAGTGGATGGTGCACACTATGTATTTCATGTCATGGATATTATGGAAGGGAAACATGGAGATTCTAAAAAAAGAGTTGTTTATACTGTTAGTTATGATGAGATTGAATGTGATATACAATGTTCTTGTCATTTGTTTGAGTTTCGAGGAATTATTTGTAGGCATGTGGTGAAAATATTGATTGAGAAGGATGTTAAAGAAATCCATCCACGGTATATTTTGTCTCGGTGGAGGAAAAATGTGAAGCATGGACACTACTTAGTGATAAATTGTTATGAAGATTTGATGATTGGTGAAAACGCTAAACAATTTGACCACTTGTGTTCCAATTTTTACGAGGTTGCGCATACTGCTAGTTCCCGCGAAAAGTATGAATACTTGCTAAGTTGTGTAAATATGGCTAAAGAAAAGTTAAATGATGATTCAGTTTGGGGTTGTAGTAGTAACATCAATTTGGTAGTTGAAGATGTTCGTGTTTCAGACTCGACTACGAAATTGTTACCACCCTTGCAAGTGCGTAGTAAAGGCCGTCCACCATCCAAGAGAAAGGAATATAGAGTAGAACAAGTTATGAAGAAGAAAACAAAGAAAAATGTAATATTTTATCTATTTAGACTTTTTTTTTAATTTTGTTAATATAGTTTATAATAACCGAGTTTTTTTAGGTACGTGAAAAAACAGACAACATACAACAAGATCAACCAGATTCAAGTGGTGAGCATGGAGCAAATTCCTATAATGTTGAGCTGAACTACCAGTTTGATCTTAATGTACCGGTTTGAATGATAAAGACCGATGAGTAGGTGGAAATAGTATAAAATAGGTTTTTTGAAAAAAGATTAATTTTTAGTTTCATTTATTTTGCATTTAATGATTTTGAAAGAACCGAATGACATTGTGATAGTGTTACGAATTGG